TAAGAGAGAGAGAGAGAGAGAGAGAGAGAGAGAGAGAGAGAGAGAGAGAGAGAGAGAGAGAGAGAGAGAGAGAGAGAGCTGGCGGTGGGGTGGGTGTGGGGGACGAGGCGGAGTCTGACAGGGTGTGAAAGAATCACGCACAAAAATAAAAGCCGCCGATTCCTCCTGGGGTTGTCTTCCCACCTGGCCAACTGGCGCCAAAATATCAGGAGGAAACCACATGTGGCACCACACGGTGGAATCAGGCTCTCGTTATATTTTGGGCATACGGTGGTGATGGCATCATCTTAAGGCCTGTCCATTTTCCTTGTTTTGGGTGAAAACAATATCAATTTTTGTTGAATGTGGGCGGTTGGCGGGTGCTCTGGTGTTTCTTCTTTCCTATCAAACATCTATCGTCCTTATCTCCCCTTCTTCTTTTTTATATTTGTTACTCTCTTGTAACAACTTTAATCTTCAGGCGCTCATATGACCTTATGCAGTTGCGAGCGCCGTAAAACCTCTACTAAAATTAAAACTAAAATTTATGTTGAATAGAATTCGAGTTATGTGTGATTGAAGGAGGTGAGGGTCATCTGATTTCAGAAGTAAAATTAGCGCGAAAATGGCTGCCAAAGCTAAGTTATTTCTTTAGCTTTGAAAGTCCGTGGAAACTTTACACTTCATCTGCCTTTACTCAACGTTTTTCAGTATAATCCACTCAGAAAGGTGTTGAACCCAAAAACAAAAATTCAATAAAAATTTCCCAAACCTGAGTAAAAATGCCAATTTCTGGACTTTCATTACTCCGACGAGCACCTGATTTTACCACGCTGCCTCACAAATTGAACCAGGCTCTGTCGTCTGACAATCTCGCGCTGACATCTGCCATGACTGACTTTGTCAGAAAGGAAGTACTATTTTCGGGTGCGTTGGGTTTCGCCGTAAATAACTCAACAGGGGACTGACTACCTATCGAAATCTGAAGATCGTTTCACCGCAAATCGTATTCGTATACAAGTTACTTACACCAAAGATAGAAGATCGACTACTTTGTGTTTGCCTGGAGAGTACGAGAATATACCAGTTACCAGTTACTACCCGTTACGCCATCTGGCGTTCAGGGCAGCAACAAAGGATCTCCAGCTCTGTCTGTTTTGGGCCATCTTAGTCAAAGTCCCCCACGAATAGTTAAAGGACTTCCTCTCCACCTTCTCCTTGTTATTATGGTGGTCATGTCCTCTTGCCTACATTTTCGTAAAAGGTCTGAGTTGGAAATCTTGTAGGGCCAGAAGACTCGTAGGATTTGGCGTAAGCTGGTTGTATGAAAGGAAGATAGCTTGGCACGGTCATGATCAGTCATCCTCCAGCATTCAGCTCCATATAGGAGTGTTGAAAGTACACAGCTGTTATACTGCTTTAACTTGGTCTGTATACCAAACTGTCCTGACTTCCAGATGTTGATCGTGCTTCTGTGTACAGATCTTGCCTTCCCGAATCTGTTCATGATGTCTTCCTTTGTGCCGCCGTCAGTTTTGATTATGCTGCCTAGGTAGGTAAATGTGTCTCGTATTCAAATACAAGTTACTTACACCAAAGATAGAAGATCGACTACTTTGTGTTTGCCTGGAGTGTACCAGAATAATATACGCAGGGCATTTATAGACCACGAACAAAACTACAAGAAACATTACCAACGACCAGACTTTAAATTGTACAAAACTTGGAGGATTGTCAAAGTCCTACTTCCACGTCCCAATTGGTGAGCAGGGGCATACTCGCAACGTACAAAATTAAATCTATAGTGCTGTCAAAAATTCGTGGTGCCCCTTATTTTCAAATATCTCCTTAACTATTGAAAATAGATTCTCCAATATTTGCACAATGACTTGTATCAATTTGTCTTAACAGATCAACATTTTTGTAAACACCTGCAAGCTGTATTCTAGAAAATCCATTAATAAATATCAATAAAAATTCCAAGTGGGTGGTTTCTACAGATTTTTAAATGTTTACAGCTGGGGCAATATAGCTTTTAATAGCAAGTTCGACATATCTTTCAAATCGCGACACTATGCTTATTGAACGCGTGTTTTGAGAGCCATTAGCGCAAAAATGTGTTCACTATAACAATAATTTCTTATAACAAGTTTTGCAAGTAAAAATTGTCTTTGATGAGCTGTGACGTAGGCCATGTGCGTAATCAAAATGTGAGTGAGAAGCGGGAAGTGCTGTGAACAATACCATTTGTGGAGTGTGCTGACTAAATGAGTTACTTCTCGGATTAGGGCTCTATGGAAATAGATACATCATGCTTAGAGGTGCAGTTTTTTTAATTTGTAAGTATGAAATAGCAAAAGGCATTTACTACTTTATGAATATTGCATCAATAACAAACCTAGAAATCTGACCCAAGTGTCGATTTTTGGCCAATATCTCCATTTGTGGATTGTGGAAGTAACTCATTTTGTCAGCACGCCTCACATTTTACACGTGACAGAGATATATATATCAAGTATTTTATAAAAATTTATGAAGAAAATTTTTTTATCCAGCCCCAATTGTTCTAGTAAAATATGATTTAGTTAATACAAATTGATACAAACTGCTATGCAAAGTATGGATGACATTGATTCACCCGTTAAAGAGATATTTGAGGATAAGTTGCACCACGAATTTGTGACTGCACTATAGTTGCAGTTGTAGTCGAATTCAATCTGCGGCGAAACGACCATTCTTATTTTCCACTGGTACACGCTGTGATGAAATTGCGACGTAACCTCGACCTCCCCCCCCCCTC